CTGGGCCCTGCGGGGCCTGACCGAGCTGTAGAAGTGGCACAGCCGCTGGACAGCACGCAGCTGGCCTGGGCGGGGAGACAGGGAAGAGGCTGCGGTACTGGCTGCAGTGGGTTTGGGGGTTCGCAGGCCCTTACTGTGTGGCCGCCTCTCCCGCCCTCTGAGGGGGTCACCGCAGATCGGACACTGAGCCCACACAGGCCGAGTACCCTATTCAAGGTCACACACTGGGGCCAGGCAGGGCAGCCACGGATGCTCGAGAGACGGCACCCCCGTTTTTATAAGCCCCGGGCTGGGGTCCTGGCCAGGCCCTCCCGCGGCACCGACCGCTCCTCCCGGCTGACAGCTTGTCGCCCTGAGCTGGCGAGGCTGGGTACCTGCACCCCATGTTGCAGGTGGCACACTGAGTCCAAGGCCAAGTCCCGACAGGCCGTGGAGACGGGGTTCAGGTCCAGCGGCCGGCATCCGGAGCCAAAGCTCCCTCAGGAAGTCGGCTCCCGGCCACCGCCTGCCTCACCCTCCGAGAGGGGCCTGGGACAGCGAGCGCTTTCCCTGTAAACATGACCCGAAGCCCGGCCGGCAGGGCCCAGTGGCTGAGCATCAGCCCATGACCAGGAGGACACGGTTCAATTCCCGGTCAGGGCGCGTGCCCTGGGTGTGGGCTCCATCCCCAGCAGGGGGCAGCCAATCAGCGTTTCTCTCTCATCATTGATGTTTCTCTCTCTCTCTCTCTCTCTCCCTTCCTCTCTCTGAAATCAAGAAAAACATATTTTGGGAAAAATGACCTGAAGGACCTATATGCACAGCCCTTGGACACACAGACAATAGCCTGGTGATGGCCAGATTGGGAGGGGCGGGTGAGGGAGAGAGGGGCTGGGTGGAGGCGGGCAAAGGGGGAGGGAAATGGGGGACGTCTGTCAACAATAAAAATAAAGTAAAAAATAATAAACGGCCCTGAACGGTGTGGCTCAGTGGATAGAGTGCCGGCCTGCGGACTGGGTTTGACCCTCGGGTCCCAGGCCACACAGACTGGGTTTGATTCCAGTCAGAGCACGTGCCCAGGTTGCGGGCTTGATCCCCAGTAGGGGGTGTGCAGGAGGCAGCCGATCAGTGATCCTCTCTCATCACTGATGTTTCTATCTCTCTCTCCCTCTCCCTTCCTCTCTGAAATCAATGAAAATATATTTAGAATGAATAAATACATAAATACATAAACAGAAGGAAGTTCGGGAAATTCACAGATACGTGGAAGGGAGTGAACTCCTCAGTACCCGGGGCCCAGAAGCACAGGCCGGGGACGGGGAGATGTGCGGAGATGAGCGGAGACAGAGCGGGAGGCACCCGCACAGGACGCGGTGAGAGCAGCCCACGGGGGCTTATGCCTGTAAGTGTCTTTAGAGAGAAGAACAGCTCAAGTAAAAACCTCTCGACTTCCACTCCGAGAAGCTGGACGAGGTGTGAGCCAGAGGCAGCGCGAGCAAAAGGGAGGTTAAGATCCGGGAGACGGTGAAAAAGACAGAAACCAGCAAGGCAGCAGGGAAGTCAGGGAAGCCGAGGCCATTCCGCGACAAGATGACCGCGTGGACGCAGCTTCCGCAGACTGACCAGGAGGTGGACAAACGCCTGAGGGACACAGATGGCCGGACCAGCCTGAAAGGGGTCTTGAGCGAGCACTGGGTGGCCCTGGGTACCTCCCAGCCCTGGGTCTCCTCGCTATTCAGTATGGGGGTAACAACATGATCCCCAGGTCCCCCAACTCTGAATCCCCAAGTGCCCTGGGGGGCCACAGGAGGTTTCTGGGAGGCCCACAGGGGCCCTGGCAAGCACAGGCCGACCTGTCTGAGGCCACAAGTCCCCAGGCCCCACCCCCCTTGGTTCTTCCCTGAGCTTCAGAGGGCCCCCTGCCTGTTTCCGTGAGGGTGCTACGGCCCGCGGTGGCTCCCCAGTGCCCTCAGGGAAAATGCCGCACTGCAGCATGGGTTGCCCTGCCCCTTCTTGGAGCCCCAATTGAGGTTCTCACCACCCACCACCCATCCCACCCAGACATTGCACCTCAACACACGACCCAGCTCACCTACCCAGGGCCTTCGTATAAGCCGCGCCTGCTGCCAGCTCTCCCTGCCGCCCACCTAATGCCTGGCTAAACCCTCCTGACCCTTGGGTCCCAGACCACACAGACTCCCCTGGCCCCCGCCACCTCGAGGACCACTTTGTGAGCTGGTCACTGCTTCCCACAAAGACCCACTCAGGTCGCGTTTGCAGGTGGAACCGGCACAGAGCCGGTGTACCCCACAGCGAGGGGCTGTTAATACAGCCAGCGGCTCCTCCGCCCTGGGAACCGCCTGCCACCCGGGAGGCGTCCAGCGGGCAGGGCTGGCGGAGGCCTAGAGGAAGCCACCGGCCAAATCACCCACGTTCAAGGCCCCGGGCTCCTCTGTGCCCAGCCCCTCTTGCCCGGCCTGGGCTATGCCCACGACGGTGGGGATGCTCGGGCTATGGCAGACACGCCCCAGGCAGACAGACGAGCCAGGGGCCCTGCCGTCCGGCCGGTGTGGGAGCAGCCTCGGCGCCAGCCAACAGCTCGTGGTTTCCGTTACTCAGCGCTGTCGGCGGCGGAAAAACCACCGCCCGCCTGTGACTCTCACGCCCCAGGTGCTCTGGCCGAGACGGAAAGAGAACACGCTCTTTCCAGGAAGTGAGCGCGGGGCCGGGCGGCACTTACTCTCCAGGTTGCCCGTCTCCGCGGCGACCAGGAAGGCCCACTCGTAGTAGCACTTGCCCTGCTGGGCGAGGGCCCGGCACATGTACAGGTGGCCCAGCTGCAGGAGCACGTGGGTGAAGGCCCGGCCACACTCCCCGCTGGGCAGCCCTGAGAAGAGCCTCACGGCCTCCAGGAGGTAGTGCTGGGCCAGCCCCCGGGCCCCCGCCTGCAGGCACAGGGCCCCCAA